AACAAAAAGTTTTTCTTGCGCGATTTTACTATACACCCACTTAGTTTTAACTTTATACGAAACGCCCTAACCCTAATTTTAATGAACTTAAAAAATTTTAAAAAATTTTACATGATGGTCGGCAACATGCATAACCTGGCACAGATTTCAGAAATGCTGTAATATGTGAAGATGATCACTATGATCACGCTATCCAATCAAATGTAGGATTTTGCGTACACACCATTCTAAGTGACAGTTCCTAGTATTGATTTTATGTTATTTGCGTGAATTTTGACATTTGTGTTATTTGTCAATTCAAATCAATTTCCTGAGTAATTCAATAGCAAGTAAAAAATTCACTACAAACGCAAAACGATAACATTCAATGTAAAAAAAAAAAATAAAAGAATCCAAATAACATGTTTTATTTCAAAGATAAATACTAATCTAATAAGCTATACATATATGTTAACTGTATTATAAGAAGTTAATTAAAAATCCATAAATAGTTAAAAACAAAAACTTAATTATTATACACGATTTATGAAAGAGAAGAAATATCTCTTAAGCTAACTTTAATGTTCAGATCATAAACCTGATTCAATGTACAATAAAAATACTTTATCTTTTCATTATTTTTAACTAATTCTATGTTATACTTTCTAAAGAATAGAACGACCAGAGATTTAATCATATTTAATGCCACTAATTTTCCAACGCAAGTTCTGGTTCCACAGCCAAATGGATTAAAAGCAATCTTTTGTAAATCCGAAGTTTTACAATAATTTTTGGCTAAAAACCTATCAGGATTAAAAGTTTCTGGATCATCCCAATAGTCAGGATTATTACCAAGAGTTTGATGATCCAACCAAAATTTAGTTCCGCTTGGCCAGCTATATCCAGCAACATTTTCTTCATCTTCAGAAGTTATTACAGTCAATGGAACTAAAGGAGTATGACGCATTGATTCTTTAATCACAGTATCAATATAATGACAATTTTCGAGTTTTTCAAAGGTGAATTCAAAGATTGGATCAGGACCAAAAACTTCATCGATTTCTTTATGAATCTTGACAAGAACTTTTGGATTTTTCACAATATTATATAGTAAAAAGCTAAATGAATTGGGGATCTGTTAAATTTAAACATTATAAGTATATATGTGTGGTATATTTTTTTGATGTATATATCTAGTGTTCAATAGATTGCTTCAACCGGGTTTCAGCCCGAACTGAACATTAAATATATATATAAAATACATATACAGAATATTTACCGAATCTGCACCACCTAAAATAATGTCCCGCATAAGACCATTAACTTCCGTAGCAGTTATCAAATCAACATTATCGACAT